TATATATATATATATTTCTAAATTTTGTAGAAATTTTGATATTTTGAATTTTAATTGAAATAATATTGTTCCTTTGTGGATTAATTAATTTTTTTTATTATATGTATTACCTGTAAAGAACGAGTCCCCAAGTTACTACAGCTTCTTCTGGGAAATCTGGGATTGCAACATAATCCACTTTAGGAATCATTTTCAAAGTTATCGTACACCATTCATTTTCCAAAATCGTCTTGATTAAATCAGTAAAAATATACATATAGAATGCAGGTGACATTTCTTCTCTATGCCATATTTTAACCCTCCAATCGTCGGACGTGCTTATAAAATCCATCACCACTATCGTCACGAGATTAGGAGACATTATAGGTGTGGTACTGAAGTGTGTCCACGCCATGTTACTTTCAACTATTTTCTTTTCCACCGGCATATTTGACAAAGCTTTGTACTTTATCGGATGCTTTACGGAAATGGTAAAGTTAGCCTTTAATTCTGGTTCGTCCCAACATGGAAATAATTGCCGTGCTCCTATTGCCTCCAGATGTGTTGCGATCAACCATCTGCCACATTTTGATAAGAGACATGATAATAAGATATCAGAGATAATACATTTTTAATTACTACATATTATTGTATATTAACCGACATTTTAATTATTCATTATTGTAAAGAATTTATATATAAAAAAACCAAATACAAAAAAATTTTGCTTATCATTCAAAAGATAATTATGTATTGTAAGTTATATCTGATTAAGTCTTACACAGTAATAATGCAAAGTCTTCGACATGACGACAATGGAAATGATTTGTAAAGAATAATAATAAAAACACTATTTATATATTATAAGTATAAAAATGTTCTCTTAATATTTTAATAATTACTTACACTTTATCTCCTTTTTCATTGGTGTAGGAAGTTCTAAAGAGACCTTCGATATTATCAATTGTTTCGGCGAAGAATTCTATGTCTAAGGTGTAATTCCCGGGCAATAGTTTATTATTAAAGTGAATAATGACAATGTTTTTCTCCTGAATATATGAATATTCCGTTGATTTATAGACAAATTTTTCGTTCTTAGACTGTCGTACATCTTCATTAATCAATGTAGTTTCGGTAATAGCCAAGTTCAATGAATGCAATGTTATGTACCGTGTTTCTTTACTAATTTTGATGCTGATGTTTGATTTTCCGCGATATATACCTTCTTCAATATTTAATATAAGCTCGATATTATAATGTATCGGTTTTATATCATTCGGAAAACGGTAATTACTTGCAGTAAGCAAGTTCTTTTTCTCATTTTCATTTATAGGAAAAGCCGTTACAGCGATGATTATACCAACACTTAATAACAATTTTAGTAATGCCATGCTAATTTTTGTTCTCGATATCTGCAAAATCATTTTCCTTGTTAGAAAAAAAACAAATACAAACAAAATGTAATATACAAATGCTTCAAACGCATGATAATTTTCTTATACATATAAAAAAACAGGGAAACGGATAAAAGAGCGATTATATATGTCTGAGATTTTGTACAAAATTCTGATATTTATGTTACTATTGCAATAAAAGTTATTGAAGCATATTACTATTGCGATCAAAGTATTTCAAAAATCAAAATATAACGTTCGATTCGAAAGCGTTCGTTTATTTTCAAACTGTAATTCGCATTTATAGATATGTATTGTATAATAAGTCGACATATATTTACCAACATGCTGCTCAAAACCTGTTTTCCTTCAAAACCGCGTTTTCTTTCAAGCAGAGTATTTAAATGAACAAATAGTCAAAAATGTAAATCAAAGATTTATTAATTTTTCGTTAATATATTTTATTTCATATATACAAGATGCAAACACGATTTAAACACTAACAAATGCTTCGTTCATATTTTTTATGATAAATCTTCTTTATAACGACGGAAATTAATATTTGTCGTTTGTTTATTCAGTGTACCTTATTTAATGTAACCTTGGAGAATATTTATCAATATATTCTTGAAATCGTTTTCATATTAGAATTTAAAAAGAATAGAATGAACTATATAAGAATAGAATAAATATATAATGGCATAAAAGAAAATATTAATTATCCCAAGATAACTTTAAAAGGATAATCTTGAGAAAGAAGAACTGTGCGCTTATCGTACTTGTATTTCAGTATCATTAAAATTGTGTTTTATACTTAAAAGTTTTTTTATCTTAAAAGAGAATAATATGTATTTAACTGTTTTATTTCTAATAACTCACCTTGTATTCTAAAAGTGTGTGATAATTAAGAAACAGCTCTTTATAACAATTAATATTGGCTGCATTAGAGCAGCGATTAACGCTACAACCTTTTAATATCGAAGAAGTATCTGTACACTTGCCGTCTTATCACTTTAAGAGGTCACTGAAAACTAACATCAATGTCGGTAACCGAAATAAATATATATATATAATGTGTCCTGTGTTGTTTTATAAAAACAACTTCTACAATTGTATATAGATGTCTTGCTAATCGATATATTATATAACTTTTACAAAATTTTAGTACACAATATTCAAGATTAAATATTTCGGTTCCATATCGTTGATGCAATGGCAAAACCGCAAGCTATAAATTTCATAAATTTTTGCAAACTATAAATTTTATAGACTTTTAGATTAAATAACAATATCTTTCTTAATTTAAAATTAAATCATTAATTACAAATTTCGTCGGGCATATCTTCGCTTTCTATCAAGCCTCCGAGACAGCCTCCATATTATAGTATATTATTTTTTATATATGCATAATTTGCAATTGGCACGGTGGCATATGTTGGAACAAGAATTTTATTTATTATTATTTTCTAATTATTATTTGCTAAGTATTTTTATGTACATATTTATCCAGCGTCTTTAGCGGTGAAAAGAGAATTAGCAGTCACATTATTGATAGACATATAAACCAAAAATAGAAAAAAAATTCTGTTTACATTGTGCCGCTGAGACCATGATATAAATAAAAATACGTTGTAATCAAAATTAATTATAAATTTAAAATATATTGAAACATAAAGCCAAAATGACATAATAACAATTCAATTAACTATTGTTCGTAATAATGACGTAATGACTAAGTGCATGGTAATTCCTTAAATCTGATAGATATATTCTTTTATAAAAAGAATGTTTATATTAAAAATGTTTTACTGTTGTATCTGCTAAATATAAATAAAATTATTATTTATTTAAATGTATTGTAATTGTTTTAGTAAGTAAATTTTACATCAAAGAACAGGTGGGTATATTGATCACAGAAAATATCTAGGAATGTATATAATAACGCAAAATATATAGTATCACAGAATTTATTATAAATCCAAGAATCATAATGTATTAATTACAAGATAATTAATATATCAAACAATAAATATTATAATTGTTAATATGCAAAAATACATAAGACTAAACATTAATATTAATATTATAATATTAATATTGATGTTATAAACTTATTTTTTTAATATTAATAATAATTTGTATTAAAAGATTAGTAATGTTAATATTTATTATAAATATGTTAATTATATTAACAATAGATGGATACAACATAATTTTAAATAAAAAAATATATAAGCAATATAAAAATATAAATATATAAAATAATGTGAATATCTGAATAAATAAGTAAGTGCTTACAAACAATATTTAAAGTTATTAACTTTCATTGATTTAATTAACTTTACTGGTTACTTATACTTAATTCTGTTAATAGCTGAAGATAATCCATCTGATTCTTGATTTCAGATGAACGTATTTTAATTTTGTGTTCAACATTCAAAATTAATTCTTTTGAATAATTTTTGGCGAATTGGCGTACCTAAAACAAATTATTTGATATTTTCTGTAAAAGATTAATTTATTATCTCACATTATAAGAGAAAATTTTTTGTTCCAATATTCTCGCATATATCACACATAATTTCTTATTTCTGATATAATTAATATAAAATACTAGACACTTATATGATACAATACAAAAAGATAAGTATAATTGAAAAATACTAATAATTGAAGATTTTATTATAGTTTGAAAGATTTACCTTATTAAGTTGTTCCGTAGAATACACGTGATTAATAATATTAATTAATGTTGCAATCGTAGCTTGTCTATAGATACAAAACAGCAGATTTACAATTAATATAAAAAACTTTCACGATATTAGCAGAATACATACTTATATGAAAAAAGATATAATTACCTTGGCACTATTCTCTCAAAATATGCAAATATATAATCAAGCATTAGGCTATTTTTTGCATGCTTGGTAATAATAAAATGTAAACTGTTAACACGATCTTTATCTTTTGTTATTCCATTATAATCTTTCAATGCTATTAACATCGTATATTTTTTAATGATAGCAATATTTTCAGAGCAAGCCAGAAATTTTAGATATCTGTTATCAGTCTCATTTTTATATATATTAAATACATTGTTCCAAATACTATCGCTCGACATCGCCAAACCATTACAATATGTCCATTCTTTCCACCATGGCCAAAGGCTATAATATTGAAAAAGAAAATAAAAATTTGTTATAAAAGTTTAGGTCACAGTCTTATATATTTTGATCAAATAGTATATTGATCATGCATGAAAGATGCAAGAAAAATGTTACTTTCTATCCAAGAATCATAATAATAAGAAAAATTACTTATTTGTTGTACGATTTGCGAGATGCTCTTGCAGTTTCAAACCTGCTACTATCTTGCAGTTAGATTCACCTAAAATGTGTGTAATATAAATATATAAAATATACAAAAATAGAAAATAAGATATAATATAGAAAATAGACATATATAAGATATAGAAAAATCAGTTATACGTAATTTAATAATATTTTAATATTAAAACATTACATATACAAAACATTTTCTGATTATTAATTATAAACTTGCATATATATACTATTTATACTAATTATTATTTTTTTTAATATACATTATTCTTATTTACGAAATTTAGTATTACCTTGATATTATAAACTCTTTTATCTGACAATGGCAAAATACTCGACATGTGTTCAAAAGCTTTGATCATAGGATACCATGCTATAAAATCTGTCTCTCGTGATAGATAATTAGTGATTTCCCAGAACACAGAAGAATTGATTTGTCTAGTCGTTAGAAAATGATACGCGTCATCGATGATTTGAGCACGATTGAGAACATGTATTTTTGTATATTCCGTAGAGTTTAGGTACTTCGCAATTCTTTTCCAGTTCTCAGTATCATAATTGACACGATAATATCCTGTCATATAATAAATAAATTTTATTATTATACATAAAGTATTTAAAAGATCAGAATTGTATTTAGCATGAAAGAAATTACAAGAAATGCTATTTAATTTTTTAAATTTGTCAGATATAATAAAAAGTTATCTTTTTATTTAAAAAAATGTAAACTGTTGTTATTAGTTATAGAATTATTTTACATTTGCCACTATGTAATACTCTGTAGAATAAAACCATATAAAAAGTTCTGTATATAAATTTAAATTGATTTTAGCTACACAAATAATCAGTACATCATGTATGGCACGTATATATAGTGAAATTTAACTCACTGTAAATTTAAATAATGCTAAATACTTCATAACATTTAACTCAACATATAAAATTGTTATACATATATTCAATGTACTATAATATTATATATATTACATACTTAGAATAATGTATTATTATACGTATTTAACGTAACATAATTATTTTAAATTTACTAAGAAAAATTACTTATTTGTTGTACGATTTGCGAGATGCTCTTGCAGTTTCAAACCTGCTACTATCTTGCAGTTAGATTCACCGAAAATACATGCCCATTTTCTGGCTTCTTGTCTTAGACAATTAAGATAGTCTGACAAGATAAGATCTTCGTCGTATTTTATATTCTGAAGAAGCTCGCCCAATATTTTCTGCATTTTTTCCTAAAAATCATTAAATGATTTCAAATATACATTTAATAATATAATAATAATAGTATGAATATTCTACTAACTTTTATTTATAAGGAAAAGAAATATTATGTGTATCTATGAGTACATGTATACGAATGTGTATTGTATATGAATTAATGCATTTACTAGAATTTTCCTTCACTAATAAAATAAATATAAAAATTTCTGCGATCTTTGTTTTAAACGCACAAATATTTACACGTATCTAATAGATACATTTATATGATGATGTAGATAATATAAATATATAATATAATATAAAACGTATTTAACGTAACATAATTATTTTAAATTTACACTAGTACAAAAGAAAAATGAATAAAATTATACAATAAAATAAAATTTGAATTATGTGAAATAAACATAAATAAATTTATTGATTTATATTTACCAATTTGTTGTAAATTGATTATAAACCAATCATTTTCTTTGTAACTTTTAGAGATATGAACACCTCTTTTTTGCAAGTCTTTTGTAAATTTTAGCCATTCCACATCATAAAGCGAATTCTTGTTAAAATCGGGATTTGTCTGTACAGTATGGGTTATAGGTATCCACAAATCACCGTCGATTGAATCGGAATTTTCTAGTATTATATCTATATGATCGGCAAAATTGTGTGTTACTTTTAGTATAGGATAACTTGTATGTTTTATCCAACCATCCATTTTTTCTATTAAGTTAATCTTGTTTTTGTTATCCATTATGTTAAGCGCATTTTGCATAGATTCCCAGAACACTTCGGATGAGGTCTCGGACAATGAACTACATAAATTTAATATTATTAAGAATTAATATTGCAATAAATTGCGTGAGAAAACGAAGTTAATATTCATATATATTTATACACATAGTATATATATAAACACACATACTTGTATTATATATTCTTTATATTTTACTATAAATTTTTTATCGCTCACAATAAAATTATGAACGATTTATTGCGAGCGGTAAAAAAATTACAGTAAAATGTAAAGAAAATTTCATGATTAATCTTATTTCTTTTAAATGAAATAGTTATCTTTTTATAATAAAATTCGATAAAACAGTCGGTATAGAACTCTGAGAATAAAGATATTAAAGCGCATATATAACCTAAAACTAATATTATATTTGATTATCTATAATATGTATTAAAACGAATACGTAAAATAATTATACTTACTTTCTATTCTGTAAATACATCTTCGTGCCAAGTAAAAACGTCTCACCGGTAATTAAATGTTGCAACATACGCAATATAGAAAATGCTACAATTCACATTAAACAATATATTATTAAGCATAAAATTTTATTATCATGTTCATAAGTTCATCAATTTAGCTGATTTTATATGGAAAAATTAGCTTTTTAGCTTTAACTATATGCATACTATATGTATATGAACACACATACATATTATAAATTTATTTCCTTTATATGTTGTTTATTTTCCTTTATATTTATTCCTATATATATAATTTATATAGTAAAACCCTTTTTTTCAAATCCTGTCTCTTAGCAAATTACATTTCAAAATTATTTCATTTAGCAATTTACATTTCAAAATTTGTGGTATATTGTTTAATTATATTTACCCTTACCTTTATTGTAACGAAAAAAAGAAGGAAGTGAATTAATATCAAGTGGCTTGCTGATTTGTAAAAGATTCCTATTGAAATAAAAGTTTAAACGGAGAGATTCATGTTGATTTTGGACTACAAACCATTCCAATTTCCGAATATCTGCTTCTATCTGAAGACAAATGATTGTTATGTAAAATAAAGCTTTAATGTGTAACAAATTTTAATATCAAATAAATATTTAACTAAAAGAAGATATTTGCATTAGCAATATATATTTGAAACAATTGTTTGCTCTAATTAAGAAAAACTTTTTATATTTTTTTTATTTTGTGTCAATAAATTTAAAAAAAATATAGTAGATTATGTCTAAAATAAATTATATGTATGTAATTATTTCTCGTTTAAATGTCGTTGTATGATTTTAAAGAAAAAAATATAGGAAGAATAAAGAGAAACAATTGCATTCTTTTTCTATTATCTTTACTTTAAATGTACGTTTTTTTTTAATTGAGATTCTCTTTTTATACTTAAAAATTATATTTTAAAATTTATAAAAAATTAAACAATTAGCACTTTAACCCTAACAAATAAAAAAATATATAAACACTAAGGATATAAAGCAACCTTATCAGTGATATCTGCCGCAGCGATATTAGCAAGTCCCTCTTTCAACCAAGATGGCACATCAATGAGAGATTCATATAATATGTTATATGTTATTAAGGACTCCTTATTTAGTTGGCTCTTTAGCTGACGTGATTCGTAGAAAATATCCGCTTCTCTAAAAATCATTAATATCTGTTAAAAAATCTTAAACATTTTTATTAACAATTTTGTAAAGCACATACATAAAAAAATAACTATTATAAAATATACTGTTTTATAAAATTTAAATTAATGTAAATATGTGTCATAAAAAAAAAAGAGAGATTTTTATACTTTTTTATGTACTACCTGTAAACAACGAGTCCCCAAGTTGCTATAGCTTTTTCCGGGAAATTCGGGATTGCAACATAATCTATTTTCCGAATTACCTTCAAATTTAGCACATTCCAATATTTTTCCAATTGTAAAATAAAAGCTTGAAATATTTTGTATGTATACGTTGTATATTTTACTTGTTCTCTGAACCATACTGTGATATTCCATTTATCGAAAGCAATATTCCTATTAATTTTATTAGTAAGAAAATCACTTGTATAACCGATTATCGCGATCGCTACGAAATAAGAAGGCATTGGAGGAGTGGTAATAAAACGTGTCCATATCATGTTATTCCCAGCGCTATGCTTGTCTTGTATCGGCATATTTGACAAAGCCCTATACTTTCGAGGGTGTTTCACGGAAATCGAAAATTGGGCCCTTAAATTCGGATCATCCCAACATGGAAATAAATATCGCGCCCCAGTTGTCTGAAGATATGTTGCAAATAACCACCTGTTAAATGACAAGAAACGTGCTTTAAATAATAAAATTGCGATTATTGTTGGCATAGAGATATTTGATATATTTCGATTGGAGATTGTATGTTTTATGAATGTTTGAATAATATAATATTACGCGCATATATATTTCTTTTTCATATAATTATTGTTTTAACTATTTTTTTATTGTATAATACTTTCTTTGCAGTAATATATACATATAATATCCCCGTAATACTTTCTTTACAGTAATATGTACGTATATCCCCGAAATAGAAAATAGTTTGTGAAGAATATAATAATTATATATATATATATTCTTAATATTTTAACATTTACTCACATTTTGTCCCCTTCTTCATTTTTGTAGGAAGTTCTAAAGAGGCCTTTGGTATTATTAGTTACTTTACCGACAAAATTTATGTTTAAGATGTAATCCCCAGGTAATATTTTATCGATAAAATACATGATGTAAGTGTTTGTCTTATGAATATATGAAAATTTTATTGGTTTATAAACCGACTTTTCTATATTATTCTTAGATTTTTGTATATTTTTTTTAATCAAAGTGGTTTTGGTAATAACCAAATTTGCTGAATGCAGTTCTATGTGTTGCGTTTTTGCATAAATCTCGATGCTGACATTTGATTCACCGCGGAATATATCTTCTTTGATGGGTAATATCAATTCGATGGTATAATGTATCGGTTTTACATTATTCGGTAAATGATAATTAACTGCGGTTTGTATCTCAGCTGTCCAGTTTTTATCTGGGAGAGCCATCGCAGCGATAATTATATCGATACTTAATAATAGTTTTAGGAATGCCATGCCAATTTTTGTTTTTACGTATCTATAAAATTATTTTTTCTATTAGAAAAAGACAAATATAAACAAAATGTAGTACGTATATGTTTCTATCACGTAATTATTAAAAAAAGAGTAATTATGTATAATCTTGATGTATATATAAATTTTTAATATTTATATATATTCTGTTGTAATAAAACTCTTTTCAAAATTATAATGTGATTTTGTGCGAGAGGACGTTCGAATGTTTTCGTTACGCATTGTAAATATATGTAATAGGTCGATGTATATTTATCACGTATTGCCTGCTATTTGTGTCTTCTCAAGGAGAACGTACCTAAATAAACGAACAACCAATAACAAATCAAAAATTTGTTAAATTTTCTTAGATATCTTATTTCTTATATAAATAAATTAAATAGAACGCGATTCGAACACTAACGAATATTTCGTACATACTTTTTATGGCAAATACATTTTTTTTAACGACAAAAATTGACATTTGTTATTAGCTGGTTGTTCGTTCGCTTACAATCATCTTAATATAACTTTGAAGAATATTTATTATAGCTACTTGTTATACGAAGAAAAAAATGTGTATATGGTACTAAACGTTCCTAAAACTTGCACATATATGTATACACTGCGTATGATCTAATAAAAGTTTAATATAAATAAAATACAACTTTAAATCTTAAAAACACTCCTTATATTATTTTTTAAATTTTAGTATCTTTAATATATAATATGATAATACATGCTTGAAATCGTTTTCGCGTTGCTAAAAAGAATAGAAATAATAGGAACATGTAGTATATAAAAAAAATATTAACTCTTTCGAAATAATTCTAAAAAGATAACGTTACTGTGTGTCGTATTCGCACTTTGTGTTATACACACATTTTATTTATATTGAAAGAAAGAAATATATATTTATAATATGTTTTATTTCTAATAACTCACCTTGTACGATAAAATTATATGCCAATCAAAAAACAGTTCTCTATAACAATTAACAGCAATTAACGTATTATCTCCACAACCTTTTACTGTCGGAAATATATCTGTACAATTGCCATGCTATCACTTTGAGAAGTCACCGAAATCTGACACCGATGTCGGTAACGTGTAAATTATAAATACGTAGTGTTATGTATGTGTATATATATATATATATATAAACGTATGTATATATATATATATATATATAACTTCTATGTGATTATACTCTTTATTATATCACGATTTCAATAATATTGTGTGTTTCAAAGTTTGGAGCAAAAGATTTTTTTTTTGTAAGCAAACAAAATCTCTGAGATTTAAGAAATTGATTAAAAATATATGTGAATAACAATGTGTAAATATATACATATATAAGTATATAAAACGCGCGCGAGATCATCGATAATTCTAGTTTTGAAATGTAACGAAATTAGGCTCATCTCTCATTTTGCGAAAATTGCAAGTATGAAATACTTCTATTTTACAAAGAAATCTACCCTTCTGGCAACAGTACATTTGAGACTGACATTCCAGCTAGGCGATATATCGCGCAGCGGCGAACACGTGGCGCCGGAAAGCAACAGGTTGTTGAACGGAGCTGAGAGACTGTCCGGCTTGGCTGGTCGATTCGACTGCCGGTAGTCCTAGCAAGGCCGGTCAAGACGACGCTAGAAAGTCTTACACGACATACAGCAGCGACGGTATGCGATTGTTCGGTACGATTGTGTCTTATTTAGATGCCGGCCGCATTCTCGCAAGCGGCCGACTGGATCGGACTAATCCGGTTGCTAGAATTATCGGAAGTGTGACCTCATTCACCGCTCGATTGCCTCGCGTCGTTCATACTACTTCACGTCTCCGTGATATGGACCCGCTTGATTGGTTTATGAGGGGTCGCAACGTTTTCCAAAAGTTAGAAATAATCCGCAAAATTGTTGGACGTAAAAATTACCATAGTCTACGATTGTATATTGGTGTCTAGGGACACTGCATCAGAGAATGATCTAAGATTTTATAAAACAAAGGACGAATTTTATAATCTAAATAATTTATTGATGAAACGTCTGTCCAGTCAATAGCTGAAAAATTTTTCGAAACAGCTTTTATTTAATCGTTTTATATGATTTAATTTTAAGCTACATTTCGCACTGTTCTCGTTGTTCTCTTATTTTCATTGCAGTGAAATAAAAAGGGCAAGAGTAGCTTCCAGTTGCGATCTCTACCAGCTCATCCTTATTTATATCCTTTATATTGGCGATGATGAAGCACACCAACCGTGTTACCTAATGCTCACACAATGGTGACAACGACATGTTCCGTGCATAAATCTTCGACGAGAGTTATATGTGCATAAGAGGCCGTGCATATTCGCCAACCGCGAATCGCGCGACGTTATCTCGCCATTCTATCACGGCACCGGTCGCTAAATATGTTATAAATTCTGTCGTGAAACTTAGAAAATGCTTTGAATGCAGTCTAAATTTCTAATGTCTAGACGGTGTCCTATCGGTAGGCAACGGGAAGAGAAGAATAAATGCAGTTACATCTTTTAGAAGATTTTCTTGTTATGTCAGATGTTTATTATTTTATTTGCTAGTTACGAGATTAAAATATTAGGAAAAAAAATCAGCAAAAGAAAATCAGATTTTTATATATAAATATACATAATTATATATTTTGTGAATAAATGTTATATATAAACATATTCTTGGACTTTCTTTTAAAATTATATTGTGTGAGCTCAACACACACAATGTTTTTAAAAATTGAACTTATATTAAAAGAAGACCAAACATTTGTTTTAATAATTATTTTAATTATCACTCTATAAAAATACTATTTAACATTAAAAACATGTCATTAGTGCAAAATCTTAATCAATAAATCAATAAAATAGTTTTCATTTTTTCTGCAGATAATTAAAAAAATTACTTGTACATTCTATTGCATCATTCAATTTGCGTCATTCCTATGGCATAGATTAAAATTGAAATAAGCGAATAGCTGTGTGTATGCGCCACGTATATTTACATTTATTTACACTGCATATAATAGTTGCAACTTTCTCAAAACGTGAATTCATATATTATAGAGGTTTGCATTGGCCATCGATGTAATAGCCAGTTGCATTGACGTGCTTTTTCTAATCCGCGACTAAGCATGACGTATTACAGCACGCTGCGAAACGATCTACAGGCTGATGGAGCGTTTCTATTTTCAGGCGGCAAATGGAATGCGCGAGTCGGTGGATCAACTCGAGAAAAATTCTCTTTAACTGTCGGTTCCACGTGCTAAACTGCCAAGTGGCAACCGGCGGCAAGTAGTCGCTCGTATACAATGAGGACCCCGCGACGTAGTCAACGATTTATTTGACGTTTCGCGAAGTATCATGTCATTCATTACTTTTGTCAGTGTTTTTGTGTTTATGTGTGAGAGAGGGAGAGAGAGAAAGAGAGATATTTAAAACTTAGGAGAAATTTATAATCCTGTGGCAGCATGATATCAAAATGACAGAGAATTTAGTGTAAATATTGCGTCTCTTGCGAATTAATGGTATTTCGTTATTTTTCGAGCAATAGTTTCTTCTTCTGAAAGTATTAATTGTGTTAAAAATATTATATATAATCCCTGCTTTAAAGTTTGCAATCTTTTTAAAAATAAATCTATATGATACAAATTTAATAGATAATTTTGTAATTTTTTCTTTGTTTATTTTTCTTTTTCTATTATTCTCATAAAAATAATTTTTTAAATAACATTTTATTTAAACAAAATTATTTTAATATTTATATTTTCGATAATCTACATTTAAAATATGACCATGTCACTGAGAGCATGTTTAATAGTGTAAACAAATATGTATTTTTGAAAAAAAATGTATAATCTTTTAAAAATATTTAATATAATAATAATCTTTCTTTCTCCTTTTCTCTCTCTCTTTCTCTCTCTATTTGTTATTCTTATATCGCCATACCAAGTTCTTTTCTATGCATTATAGAGAAGTGCATTTTCAAAGTTCCTTTCCCCTCGTGTCTACGACGCGTGTCGTCGAGAGGCGGTTCGCGCACGTTATGTATCTTCTTCTCTCGTCTCGGTTGTCCCTTGACTATAATGGGCTGTAAATAACCGTTTTCTCGGGTCCGAGCGCCGCGGAATATTGTTTGCGATGGTAATTGTAATGTTTCCCGGATCTCATTTGCTGGCTTTCAGCCGCTAATATACGGCGGCTCCGTGGCGCGAGGCCGCGGCCCGCTCGTAAATTTACTGAAACACACAAACAGTTCATCTGGACTGGCTGGTCGCGTGGGTGCCTGAAACGTTTCACTTTGCAGTCCTGTATTCTCGCCGTTTCATTCTCTCCGATTCCTTTCCGCGCACTTTTTCCCAAGTTCATTTATCAGAATCTTTCGCGAATCCTTTATTTCCGATCACATAAAATTTTCTATGAAAATAATATAAGAAAAATAATTTTAAAATCTTTTTAACTTGCTCGCGTATTAAAGTTATAGAATTGTGTTTCCTAATCTCTTTATTCATTAATATATCAATCTTATATTGATTTGAACGTAAATGTTAAAGCGTTTCCAGCAGTCAATTGACTGGATGAAACCGCGCGAAAGCCGCTGCCGCTACCGTTCCCTATCTATAATTTACGATCGTACGCGGAATGAAGTCAATTAAGCTACGAAGTTTGTTAATATTGAAACAAATCGCGGATGATGGCATCTTTATTG